AACTTTTTGCTTTAATTATTTATTTTAAAAAGTCTTTTTATTCTCATTTCTTTTTTTAGAATAATATAAGTAAAAATAAATTATTTACATATTTTAATTTAAAAAATAATATAAAAAAACATATATTATTTTAAAACGTAAAGGAATAAATCAAAAGAAGTGTTTATAAATTTTATCTTTTATAAAATTAAAAATTCTCTTATATTAAAACTCTATCATTTCGATAAATATAAAAAAATGAGCAGAGAAATCTTAATAATTCTAAATTACTGCTCTCTTTTCTCCGAACATGATTATTAAAAATATAAAATTCCTTCAAATCACAGCGATGGTGGTCCTTTTGCCACTTTTAAAAACATAGGGACCATCTGTGAGTGCACAAAACCATGCCGTTGCCGGCCCCCCAAAAAAAACAAACCAAGAATCTATCATGTACACTACTTTTAAGTCACCTCCGTCAGCAAGCAAAGTGCTAAAGAAGGATCTTCTATGGTGAGATGCTTTTTAAGCCACCATCAAATATAATTAATACTGCAGTTGAAGAATTTCATGGGGTTTAAAAAAGTTCTTACTACAATTAAGTAATGAAAAAAATTTTCGTGGACCATGCCTAGAAATTATTATCCCAATTCCATAAACTCTTATTAAAAAATTTAAATTGACTTTCTCATTAAAAAATTAATAGAAGATTACTTTATAACATTAGTGTTTATTAATAAGATTTTTATAGAATTAAGAGAAAAAAATAACTTAAAATTATATTATTTTAATAAAATATTAGTATAAAAAAAGATTAAAATAATTTTATTTTAAATTTAGAAATAAATTATTTTAATTTTTAAGTAAAATTTATTACAATAATATAATTTTAAAATATGTTTTCTTTTAATTTTTTAACAAAATCTCGACTAATTAACATTTTTTTAATATTTTATTGGCCATCTCCAGTAGGGCGTTTGTATTTTTTTAACGAACTCAATAGTCTTCAATAAAGTGTTTATTAAACACAACAAAATAAATCTTATAATTTATTTAGTTTGAAGGAAGAGCAATGGAAAGAGAAAATTTTTCGTATTTAGAAAACAAAAAATTAGAGGAGAAGGGATGAATTTTTTTTTTTCTATTTCCCTCCTCTCTTAAGAAAATTGATGAGATATATCTAAGGGAAATGTTACACAAATAATTTTTTCATATAATTTTTATATATTATTAAATAAATATATATAATATTATAAATTATAATAAAATAAAAAATTAATTATTAAATAATATTTAAAATTAAATAAAGAGTTATAAAAAATTATATTTTAATCAATTTGTCATATCTGATGATCTTCCCTCTTAAGAAAAGTGACAAGGTATGATCTCCTCATTATACTGAAGATATGATTCCCTCGTTACAATCTAGGTTATATATATATATATATTTTAAGTTTACAAATAATGCTAATATTCCATAGGCAGGAGGAAAAAGTTATTATGGGGGATTTCGAATATCAAATTCAAGGGTGTTCTTAATTAAAAGGCAAATGACAAATTATTCAACCTAAATGTGAGAAACATTACAATTTAGTTCTTGTTATTAGCTTTCACATACTCTTTTAATTGTG